TTCATTTCTTCCAAACATAAAGGCTTTATAGACACTCTCCCGGTTCTTAATCCTGCAATCCCGTGCTCCTCAATCTGGGCCACACATTGCAATCACCTGGGAAGCCTGCCGCAGTCCCACCTGCAGAGAGTATGATTTAGTTAGTCTGGGGTGTAACCAGTGCATCTGGACTTTTATAAGCTCCCCAGGAGATGCTAATATACAGCCCAGATTGAGAATCACTGGTTTCCTGCCTGCCAGAGAGAACTCACACCAGTCCTACCCTATATCCTGGCTCAGATGGAACAATTTGAGGCAAAATGTAAAGAATTTTAACTAGCTTGATAATGGCAGAACTGAAATTAGATTCTAAGATTCCTGACTTCCATGTGCATCATTTGCCCCAAGATGCTCACATTTCGTTTTCTTTTCAATATTATAGCCAACATGTGACCAGGAAAACGGAACCCTCCAAAGATAACCTGTGAAGGTTCCTTTATTACAGCCCTTATGATTGCAAGGATCTTCCATTTGTATTGTTAACTGTGTTTTTCAAGGTATTTTCACTTAGCTCTTAATGGCAGGAAATAAAAAAAAAAAACTTTGCTTGGATTCTACTCTAACTTCTAGTTATCAATTTCCAATAACTGGGAAAGAAGCTTAAATGAGTCAGATGTAGGCAAAGGGGATTTGGGAGGAGTTTACCTCTCCCAACTTTTTAAAAAGTAAATCCAGAAGTATTAGTGAATGTCTGAGGTTTTGAGGGTGGGGAAATAGGGAAGATGGCATTCTTTTATTAATAGTATTAAATGTGTCATCTGTGCAACTCCATAACACAGAGTGAAAAAGAGGACATTTTACCTAGGACTCAGATCTCCACTGCTTTTTGTCCACATTTTGATACGTGAGTTAGATTCACTTAAAATATAAAGATTATTCCCCCAAACCAATACACAAATAAACTCCCAGTTGGCAATTTAGTCTCACAAAAGAAATCGGATAAATGATTACATTGAACAGTATTAGTTACACGAAATTATTAATGGAGATATTGGGTTTTTATTAAAATACTATCAGTAATACAATCTCAAAAATAAATTACCCACATGTTTGCTTTCATGATCAAGTGCTCTTTTGTTTAGAAATAAGGAACAACAGGAGGAATTGGAACCAGATGGGCAAGAAAGTAGTTTATGAGATTGAATCCAAGCAACAGTAGTCCTGCCTCTTTCTGCAAAGGAGAGGCAGCCAGAGTGACAGTGTCACTGCTGTGATGATGATGATGACGATGATGAGAGCACCAAAGCCTTAATTCCTACAGTTTTAAATGTGCTTTCATGTATATTATTTTATTTTATCTTCACAGCAAACTTGCCATGACCTTCCAGACAAGGAAACTGAGAACTACAGAGAGTTAAAGTGGCTTGCCCCAAATCACAGAGCTAGTGGGAAGGGGCTTCTGACTTCCATAAATACAAATGAAAGTATTGTCTTCCTATTCTTGGGCTTTTTATTCTTCTTTTACTTTGTAAGCTATCACCATGACTTAGATACAAAATTGACGGAGCTGAAGAGTTGACTTCTCTTAATCCTCAGCAGTGTCATTACTTTTTCATTTTGTTTTTAGTTACCAGATTTTTATTTTTAACAAGAGACTGTCAAAATACCACCTCTCACATACAGTTTAGAAGGCCAGCCAACAGATTTGTCAGGAACTCCCTGTTGGAATAAATCTGGAACCATAACCATCACCAAGGGATGTAGCAAATCAGGTAATTCCCTGAGCAAGAAGGAAGGTAGCTCTTACAGGCTCTAAAATCCAACTGTAGCAAGCCTACAAAATGCAATTACCCTGAGCATGAAATCCCTTCCTAATTATGCCTTTGATGCACATGATATTCCACCTGGTATTATAGTTGTCTCTGTATGTCTTATTATCCCCTGATATTATTAGTTTCTTGAAGGCAAAGCTACTCGGTTTTAGATTTCCTCCTGCCCTGCAACAATGCTTCCTCCCTGCACTCCCTAATGTTTATATTATCACCTCCATTTATCAGGGCTTCCCTTGATGTTCACCTTTTAACAGATTTTGCCTGCATAAAACTGTTAAGAAAAGGAAGAGAAGTTTCTATCCCCTAATTTGTATCAGGCCTCATACATCTAGGGATGGCCTTTTCTTAATCCCTACAATATTCTTATAATGATACTTTCCCAGCTATATAACACTTTGACTGCCCATGGCAGAGAGTTAAATAATATAAAAGAAAATTGAGAACAAAGAATTTGTTTCTGTATGAATCTTCACCGTAAGATAGTGGCACTTACCTGGCAGATAAATGGCCAGCCATCCATGAGGGAAACCTTTGGTAGATGAGCTCCTTCGAACAGGAAACTCTCCCCACAACAATGCTTTATGTTGGACACTCTTCGTTGTAGGGATAGAAATTCTGCTACTAGAAATTATTACACTTTATTCAAGATTACTGCCTAATCAGCATTTTAGCAAGAAAAGGAACAAAGGGAAAAGTAGTCTTTGAGGAAGCAGGTATCAGATATAGCATTTAAATCAGGGGTTAGCAAACTGTGGGCCTTAGGGCAAATCCTACCGACAGCCTATTGTTGTAAATAAAGTTTCAGAGAGCCGGTGCCCACTTCAAGGCACTCACCTCTCAGTTCCAGCTGTGTTGCCTGGCAGAAACATGGACCCAGTGTTACCACAACCTCTGAATTTTCAGGACCTCCTGGAAATCTGTTTGTTTTTGCCAAGTCTCCTAATATTTAAATATTTAGAGCTGAGTAAAATTAAACATAAAAATAGCAGGGCATGTACACAAAAACCTGTACACTGATGTTCATAATAGCTTTATTCCTTCCTAATTGTCAAAACTTGGAAGCAACCAAGATATCCTTCAGTAGGTGAATGGATAAATAAACAGTGGTACATCCAGGCAGTGGAATATTATTCAGCACTAAAAAGAAATGAGCTATCAAGGTACAGAAACACAGGGAGGAACCTTAGGTGCACATTACTAAGTGAAAAAAGCCAACCTGCAAAGGCTGTACACTAGATGATTCCCCTGTATGATACTCTGGAAAAGGCAAGTAAATAGGCAGAGCAGAGAGGGTGTTTAGGGCAGTGAAACTTATTCTGTATAGTTTTATAATGGTGGAGACATGTCATTATACATTTGTCAAAGCCCATAGAATATACAACACCAAGAGTGAACCCTAATAAACTACAGAGGTAGAATGATAATGATATGTCGATGTAGGTTCATCGATGGTAACTGATGCACTGTTCTGGTGCAGGATGTTGGTAGTTGGGGATGCTGGGTGGGGAGGGACGGGAGTACATGGGAACTCTGTACTTTCCACTCACTTACACTGAGAACCTCAAACTGCTTTTAAAAATAAAGTATTTTTTTAGGAAAAAAAAAACAGTAGGGCAAATGAAACACATCCAGGGGGCAGATTTGACTCTCAACCCACCAGTTTACAATCTCAGTTCCAACCAAGGTAGCAGTAAGACAAATGGTTAGCATCAGAAAGGTATGGCAGAAGATACCAGGGTGTCCTAACACAGTGATCATAGCACCAGGAAGGCCAGGAATGGGCAGTAGGAGATGTAGGTGATTATGCCAGCAGTTTGTGTCAAAGGCCTTGCAATAATGGCCTTCTGGCTTTGAGTCACAGACCTAGAGGCCTGGCCCCTGCATATGGCTGGCCAGGCAGAGAAGAGTCCCTGTTCTGAAAGTGCTACAGAACTAACCAGAAGATTAGGATGCAGACTTATTCTGACAGAAACAGAGAAAGATCCAGTGACCAAAGTGGACCATAAGCAGGAACTGGGTCTCAGGATCCAGGCAAACACAACTGATTAAATTATGGTTCAAGGTCAGGGTAGGCTAACTGGTTTTTGTTTTGTTTTGCTTATGGAGATCTATATCTCTAGGCTAACTATTTTTTGAGGCTAATCAGAACTTTTGAAGTAACAGATAATAGACACCCAATTCCAAATAGCTTAAGCAAAAAGAACCCCTCACACACATACACACACAAAACAAAACCAAAAAAAGAAATGTGTTGGCTCATGTAACTGAAAAGCCCAATGGTGGAGCTGGGCACAGACAGCTTAGATGTACGTTAGGCTATTATTAGAAGTCTGTCCACTTCTGTCACCCTCCTGCTTTCTGTTATGTTTCTCTGTTTTCATTCAGGCTTTCTCCACATGGTGACCCCCAATAGCTCTAGGCTTACATTGTCTTACAGCTATCAATCTCACTGGGAAGAAAACTTGTCTTCCCTAGTAGTTTCAATGAAATTCTCAGGACTGAATATTATTGGACTGATTTAGGTCTCATGCCTATTCCTGAACCCATCTCTGTGACCAGGGTGGTGGAACAAGCTTTTTAACCAGACTTGAGTTCCTTGGCCAACTTAACCATGTTGTCTATAAATGGAAGAGGAATGGGTGTCCAAGGGAAAAATTAAAGTACCATTAACAGAATGTATACTAGGATGCAAAAATAACAGAATTTCACTATACCACATTATCCAAGTTAGCTAGGACTTTTAAAATTCCCTCTTCTTTGCCCTCCATGCCAAGGTCAGCAGAGAAGCTAAGATTCTAGATATCAGGCAGGTCATTACAAAGATGCCCCCATTTATAGTGAAGTACAAACAGCTGAGATTCTTCATAAATACTGAAAGTCGAGGATGGTAGACAGCTCTGTCTCAGTGGAAATTACCACATGAACAGATCAAAATGAGAGTGAAGCTATACAACTTGGTGGCAGTCATCAAATGCTTCACATTTTGGGTAGGATATAATGAAACATTAATATGTAACAATTCTTTGGGTTTCAATCAAATCTAGCATCTTATATTAAGAAGATTAATTAGTTAATGTTTGTAAAGTACTGTGCAGATATGCCCTTTTAAAATGCTAAGTATTCTAAAAACTACATAGTAGCATTTTACTAAATGTAAAAGATCTAATGTTCATCATTTCTTTGGTACAGGTTGGCAAAGATTCTTTTGGCAATGACTATATAGAAAACTTAAAACAGAATGATATTTCTACAGGTAAAATTTCATCTTTTTTGAACTGAGTGTTTATAACTTTCTGCTATGATCTTGTTACAAGAAAAATTGAATATAGAACAGAATTATTAGATCTTCCCCTGGTGGCCAGAGAATTTTTATGCACAACTTTGTCTACTCTTGCTAACATGTCTTTTGGTTGATTCTTTCATGTACATTCCTCCAGATGGAAATAAAATGATAGGAGGTTACAACCTTCATCTCATGATATATGACGAATGACAAGGAAAAACACGGGCTGCATTCACAAAAGACATTTTAAGAAAAGTTATTGAATGTTATAGCTGGAAATGATCATAGAAACCATTAAGGCTGATACCATTATTTCACAGAAGGGAAAACCAAAGGCCAGAGATGTTCTGTGATTTTTCCTAAGAGCACACAGTTGATAAGAGCTTGAGCCAGGACTAGAATGCAGGTCTTCTGCTCCAGTTCAGGGCTCTTTGCTGCTACCAAAGGCTGCCTGATCAACATTTGTGTTTACATGCCAGACCATGATTCTTCATGAATTGCCAAGCTTATGAGAATGAAGAAAATCAAACAAGTTCATTTTATAGGTTCGACCTTTTGTTTTTTTATCTCAAGTCTGTCATTTCTTTCAGTGAAGAAAATAAATGTGTTGTTCTGGAAAATGCATATATATACAATTATGAGTAATTTGAGGGAGTTGAAAGAGGAGTGGTTTGGTGGGTTGTTACTAATGCACAGAAAAGGTGCAACTAAATGTAAAGCTGTCTATTTTCCTCATTGTATAGGTGATGGGTATAAATTAGCACTAATTACTTTTTTTTTTTATCATTCCATATGGTTAAAGGTTAAAAAGGTTTTCCAAGGATTGGTGTTACATGAAATTGTTAAAATAAATTATCCATGCTAGGCTGTTTGTACGTAATTATAATTTTCTTTTTTCTTTTAGAATTTACATATCAGACTAAAAATGCTGCTACAGGAACTGCTTCTATAATTGTAAATAGTGAAGGTAAGTGTTTCACATATTGGAGTGTCATTTCATAAAACAGAAAGTTGATTTTCAGAACTAGACCAAAAGTATCATTTTTGCCCTAATCCTATGGCCCTCTTACCATACCCACCATTCCAAGGCCTAAAGTGTGGTATTCTTTCCAATCCAAATATAAATGTGTTTCCTTTTATTTATATTTCCCATGTTGATCATTCAAATGTAAAATTATCCCTCTGATATATATGAAGTTGCCTCAAAATAACATCAACATCCTATAATCATGTCCCCATTACCTTTCATGTGAACTCAGAATTGACACTTGTCTCTAAAAACAGTCAGGTATTCATCTGTCATTTTAGTTACACAAGGTAAATAAATGTAAAATAGGTGCAAAGAAAAGTTTGATGAATCATATTTATAGAATATTTACTGAGCAAATGGTAGCAACTAATTACTTTTAACTTATAATAGTGTTCAATTTTGTTTGCTCTTTAAACAGCAGTCAAATCTCAGAAGTCTACATATACAACTAAGTCTGCCACAAGGCTTTGCCATAGTTGAAATAGTTATCTTTGAAAATAGTAACTACCTTCAAGTTAAGTTTTCATAATTTCCACCAACTGTTTTAAGTATAAAAACACGTACATAGGATTTTTAAAATCAAAATTAACATTCAGAAGGACCAAGCATTTCATGGGGCAGCTGGGACAGAAACTAGTGCATTTTGGACAGTGTGTATCGTGTTAAATTAGGATTTGTCACAATTATGTCTTTTATTTATAATGCAATGTTGCAAGATCATTTTTCATAGAAGATATGGTATTTTTAACTCAACTTTAGTGATCCCAAAGTTGCAATAATAAAAAGATATATTCCATTTAAAGACAGTAAATAAAAGTTTTTGTTCTAACAACAGAAAGTCAGTGTTCATTACTTCAAGCTATACCTTAAGTAATGATTGTGGCCAACAGCAGCGCATTCCTTGTCTTAAACCTCTTTTTTGTTGTTATTGTTCTAGGGATATCTTCAAGTTCTCTTTCTTCCTTATCTATAACACAAAATCTGCATTTTCTATGTAAAGATATAATTTAATGTATCGAGTGCCTATTGTGGTAGACTGCCTGGTTTATAGTGTATGGTAATGCCCTCAAGAGTATAGATTGTAACAGAAGAAGTAAGACAAAAAATCAGCTCCTTTAAACAAAGGAGTGAGTATGCAAGATAAAGTAATGAGTTTAGTTTTCGACAAGTTAAATTTGAGGCATGAATGAGCTAGCCAATAAGGCATCATCCAGCAGACAGCCATAGTGTAGGCTTGTTGCTCAGCAGCCAAGGCCAGGCCAGAAATGTGGATTTGGGAGTCAGCAACACGAAAGCAGCAGTTGACTGCAACAGAGAAAATGAGCTCACTGAAAGAGACAAGGAAGGAGAGACACTGTCTTTCAACAAGTGGGTACTTTGAAATTTTTCCAGGACTGAGGCTGGGTTTATGCTGAACCATCCCTACTTTATTAAGTCTTCCTCATGGCCAACAAACACATCGGTAGTCAGATGATAGGCTAGAATTTGTTCTGTGTTGAGAGGTAATTTTAGGTCATGTCTATACAAGATCAGTGTGAGCAGCCTGAAGCACAAAAAATGCCTGCTGCAGCTCATTCCTCTGGTTGTCCTCAGTGTTGTTCAGCAGAAGTAAAATGCAAGCCACATGCAGAACTTTAAATTGTCCAATAGCCACATTTTAAAAAGTAAAAAGGAACAGGTAAATTTAATTTCGATAATATATTTATTAAACTCAATATATCCAAAATATTATCATTTCAACATGTAATAAAATTTTTATTTAAAAATATTTTTAATTTTTTAAATGTCTTAAAAAATTAATGAGATGTTTTACCTTCTTTGTACTGTCTTTGAAATCTGCTGTGTATTTTACACTTAAAGCACATCTCAAGTCAGGCTAGCCTCATTTCAAGTGTTCAGTAGCTGTGTGCAGCTTGTGCTCATAACTACCCTATTGGACAGCACAGCTCTTAAGAGTTCACCTGACAGATAAAATGTACCACCACCCCTTCCCCATTTAGGTGGGATTATAGAGAGTGGGTCCAAGACAAGTGATGAGAATATATCAGATTCCTTAGTTCTGTTTCTTTTTGTTTGATGTGGTACAGTATAGGCCAAATATCCCTCTTGTCACGTTATCTGGTACCATTTTCCATCTGTTAGATATTATAAAATATGTTTTGGTTGACAGAATCACTTTTTAGAATACCATAGGGTACACACATGAACTGCTTGCATACTACAGAGCATTACTTTTGCACATTATATAAATTTATTACTGTTTATACTCATCTATATGGCATCTGTCATTTAGGATCAGAATCTTTACCGTATTCATATACCAGCTGTTTTCCATAAAAGAAATTTTTAAAATATATATCATTTCTCAACTAATGTTCTTTGCATATAAGAATATTGATAAGGGAAATTTTTTAAGATTTTGCTCAAAATGATAAGAATAATATGGATCTTATAGAGCTATTGCAAAAGATACATTTGGGACACAAAATTTAACCTGAATAGCCTAGAAATTAATACTTACAACACATTTTTTATAATGACTTTACAAAGGTAATTATACATTGCAGAGTATCATTGCTTGGCTTTGTTCGGTTTTAATATAAACAAGTGGAATTTCTTAATAGGCCAGAATATCATCGTCATAGTGGCAGGAGCAAATTTACTTTTGAATACTGAAGACCTGAAGGAAGCAGCCAATGTCATTAGCAGAGCCAAAGTAATGATCTGCCAGCTAGAAATAACTCCAGCAACTTCTTTGGAAGCCCTGACAATGGCCCGCAGCAATGGAGGTAATTTTACATATTTGTCATTCTTTCTGTAAAAGCTTTTATCACTGTCTTAATTAAAGTTAGCCTTGCAAGTTAAGCAAAGCAATACTTTTTCTGTAGTAAAATATTCTTTCATCCATCTGTGAGATTCACTGTCTTATGGTTCTTGAGATTGTTAGAAAACCTTACAGATAGGGTAAAAATAACCTGAGTAGCATTTCCAATATCCTTCAACATAAATCTTCAATCTAGTTAGTAGAAATGATACAAATAGTGATTAGAATCTTCCGAAGCAGCCTATTGTCCAAAGTATACTCTAGGTAGTGAAAGGTTTTCCATTCTGAGAAGCAGAGGTTAAACTGCGTGTCATTTTTAATCACTGCCCAATTACGTTTTGGTAAACATCTCTAGAAATTGAAGATTAGTTCTTTCTCCTTTTTATAAAACTTTATCATCTTTTTCAATAAGTAAAAAAAGATTATTTATACGTAATATTTTTATGTTGTCATTGTCCATTAAGTGGCTCTTTTGTTTCACCTTTGATTTTGGAAATTTTCAAATGTACAAAAGCCGGCAGAATTCTATAATGAAACACATCACCCAGTTTCAACAGTTGTCAACCTGTGGCTAATCTTGATTCATCTGTTCTCCCCTCCACTCCCCCTCTCTCAACCCTAGCAAATAACAGACTTTTTAAAAATCCGGGTAGTTTCTTTCTGTTTGCTTCTTTTTCATCATTGACTAATGGGAAAAGCATCTTCTGAGTTAGAATCCCATTTCTGTCCTTTGTTAGCTTTGTGGTTTTAACACAATTATCTCATCTTTCTGAACCTTTTCTGTAAAATGCCTAAGAAATACCCTCCCTACAGAATCGTTCTAAGAATGGATAAAATAAAATATGATGCCAAGTATGGTGTAGTACATGTCAGCAAATCCCAATTTTCTTCTCTTCCATCCACTTTTCTCTTTAAATTAAAATTAGGATAATATCCTGATCTAGCACCATTTGTTTAAAAAAATCAAAATAAACTCTAAGACATTGGCTTCTTCTTGATATCGTGGCAATAGTTCTGTGATTTTTATTAAGGAGAAAGTAGAGAACCACATTGGCTTTTCCAGATAAAACTTTCTCATCAAGATACAAGACTAAAAAAAAAGAAGAAGAAAAAGAACAGTAAGTATGTGTGTGTGAGTGTGTGTTCATATAAGTGATTTCCCTCAAAGTGTGCAGTGTTCTACATAGCAATAAATGGAAAATAAGTCACTGAAATGATTTTGTGGAAAATTTTTAAATGTATGTCCTGATTTAACAAATTTTCCTCTTGGCAAAACAACATGCCATGGCAAATTTTCAATGACATTAAATGTATTTTTAATGCACTCAAAGCTATCAGAAAGAAATCGAAGCCAAAACCCATTTGGTTACATTTTCTCAGAGTGTCATAGTAAAGTCTAATGCTCGTGGTACGTGTTCTCTGCACTGCACTCATCTCTGTCAAGGGATGCGCATACACTGTGCCACTCCACTCCCGCTCCTGTCTTCCTTTATGTAGATCAAAGCATAGTCTCGTGTAACTTCTCTTTTTTCCTACTATCCCTTGCTTCTCAGAGATCACTGTTTCCTCTGTCCTAATCTAGTTACCTGTTAACCTACCCAGCTTGTGGAGGAGAGAAAGGTACAGCAACCACAGTTGAGGATCTAGCCTTTCACAGGTGAGGCCAGAGTAATCTGGATGGGCAGGCAGCCTACACTGGGGCTGTCATTTGGGTGGAGTCCAGAAATGCTTCCTCCATCACCTGCCATGCAGCTCTTCCAGTCTAGAAGCTGGAGGACCTAGAGCACTGGGAAGAGGTGGGTAGGTAGGTGATGGTGGGCCACAGACCACCTGGCCTACTTCGTATTTTTACTAAGAACCAGCATGCCTAAGTATTAATTCTGCATGATCTTTCTGTCTTACACAATAATATTGGAAATAGTAATACCTTGCATTTATGTGAAATTTACAGCTTATAAAGTACTTTCTTACACATCTGATCCTCAGAAAAACCTCATGACAAAGATACAGCAGGCATTGTTCCCTCAGATTGGAGGTGAGAAGAGTGAGACTTTGAAAGGTTAAGCAAGGTGCTCACCCAGCATCACACTTTAAGTAAGTTGTGGGAACCAGGAATTCAGACTCCAAGACACAATTTCTGTCTCTTGGACCACACTTTAATAAGAAATTGCCATAGCTGGGCATGGTAGCTCTCATACCTATAATCCCAGCACTTTGGGAGGCCCAGGTGGGAGGACTGCTTGAGGCTAGGTATCAAGACCAGCCTGGGCAAAATATCAAGACCCTGTCTCTACAAAAAATTTTAAAAATTTGTATCAGCCAGGCGTGGTGGTGCATGCCTATAGTCCCAGCTACGCAGGAGGCTGAGGCAGGAGGATCACTTGAGCCCAGGTATTCAAGGTTACAGTGATCTATGATAGGACACTGCATTCCAGCCTGGATGACAGAGCAAAACCCTGTCTCTTAAAAAGAAAGAAAGAGAGAGAGCAAGAGCGAGAGAGAAAGAAAAAAGGGAAAAAATTGTCATTTGCCATTGATCTCTAGAAAAATAAAATCCATTAATTTTAACACCACCCAGCATAGGGCCTAATCTTTGAGCATTTTTGCTGCTCAAAAAACAGAGAAGAGGCCCTAGAGTGTTTTTAGCAACACTAAATGGGGATATGTCCCCATCCCCCCCAATGCAAAACACATACATGTACATACGTACACACACACACACACACACACACACACTGTCTCTCATACTCCTTTGCCCAGAATTCCTCCAGTCTGGCAACTTTCTGTGGCCAAGTCAACTGGTCCCTATTTGGTAGATTCCTGCCAGACACAGTTATATTCTGTACCATGGGGGTGGGGATGTGTGTATTTGATGCATCTTCATTCTCACGTGAAAGAAGAGTGGTACAACGAAAGGAGAGCGCTGATTTGGGAATCATGAAGTATGGCTTTGAATTCAGAATCAATCAGCAAATGGGGGACCTCAGTCAAGTAAGTCATTTCCTTCCTCGGGGCCTCAATGTCTTCTTTTGTGAAACAAGAGAATTGGGCTGAGAGCTCTCACAGTTCTTTAATGTCAGTTTGGACTAATCACAGAGCAGAGTGGGCAAAGCTTAATGATCTGTTGAGCACTAAGCATCCTGCCCACTGCTCCAGGAAGCTGCATATGTGCTGATCAGCATTATTCCATCTTCAAGGAAGATGGTAAAGTCATCCTCATCATCATCATCATCATCTGTGGGTTTATTATCACAGTTCCCTTATCTTTACTGCTTACAAGTAGTGAAAGTTGAATTAAACACATTATATATATAGATTATATATCAATTATTAAAATCCAAAGGAAAAGATTCCTCCATCTTTAATATACTGTTTCAAAACTCTCTTCCTGTCTTTACCAAAAGGAAAGCATTGGTTTTAAAGAGACAGCACCTACAACACCAAAATTGGTATAGTCCCTGTCCTAGCTAGGTCTGTGAGGTGGGCCCACTGCAGAGCTGAGGCTGCAGCTCCTTGGTCTTTATATCCATTTCGAAACAAAGGGAGCATTACAGGGACAATTATAAATAATTGAGATTGTAAAATTGCCAAGATTAAATTCTAGGTATGATACAAAGTGTCTTTTAATGCCACTTTAGTCCTTTTCCATTTGGCAAACAAAACTTCTTGGCTGGCCACCTAGACCTTCACAATAACATCGTCCAGCACATAGCCCACACTTTTTGTGTTTCTGCTGCCCAAGTCACAGAAAAGAGCCTCTGGATTAAGAGACAGCCAAGCCAGTGTTTTGAGTATCCCAACCTTTTCACGGTTTCTTTGCTTAGGGTGATTTTCTTCCCCAGTGTCTCTGAGCTAGTTATTCTAGTAAGAGATTCTGCCTCATTTTCCTGTATTTCAGCCTATACAGCTACTTCCCTACCCAGGCCTCACCAGTTGTTCATTGATATAATTGTGCCAGCTACTGACATGCAGTTAAGATAACCAGGAGTTTAGTCCTTCATACACTGCAATTAATAATAATTACTGTTGGTACCGTCAGTCAACTCTGCAACTCCAAGTTATTCCATGGTACATTATGTGTTCTCTAGTTCTGCCTGGTCCCAGGATGACATCATCTTTTCCATCTCATCTATTACAAATTTGCATTCTTCTTTGATTAAAGAAGATTGATTTTGATTACATCTGCTAATTCTTCGTTTCCTTCATCATGGTAAAGTATTTATGCCTATTTGTGGTAGCACTGGCCAAGAAGAGTCCTTTCTTTATGGCATTTTCACTTTTCCCCTAAATTTAGTTACTAGTGAGACTCTAAGCCTATTCTTACTATGAGTAAGAATGCTGTCCCTCAGTAAAGTACAGGCAAAAAGGTTCAGTTGACTTTTATACAATAAGGTAAAATTAAATTATAGAATTCCTATTCCAGCAATGGATACTTAAAATTCAATGTAATTGTTTCTTTAAAATTTGTTTTTATTGTGTAAAATTTCAAATATATATGGACAGAGAATAGTACGGTAAGCGCATATATGCTGTCATTTAGCTTCAACAATTATCAACACATGGCCATTCTTGTTTCCTCTGTGCCCAACTCGTGGCTCCCTAGCCCCCACTACAACCTTGATTATATTGAAGCAAAACCCAGATATTATATTGTTTCATTTGTAGTATACCAATTTTTTGATGTGATACTATACATGTTTTAAGAATGATGCCTTTGCGTGATGTATAGTACTTAATCTGTAGTCAAATGTACCCCATCAGTCTCTTATAGCTAATCATTTATTAGTTTAGTGAGTAACTTCACAGACTTTTTTTCTTCTGTGTAAGCATATAAATGTAAATACATATATAGTTGCATGTGTTAATTCTTATTTAAAGGAGAGGGTAATACAAAACTGCCTTTTTCACTTATAAATAAATTATAGAAATCTTTCTCTAAGAAAACACAAATCTACTTTATTCTTTTGAACATCTACAGGTGTTAGACATATGTATGATTTTTTTTAATCAATCCCCTTTGATAGGTTTGTAGATTTCTTTTTGTTTTTTCTGTTACAAACAGAGCTACATGAAAATCATTGTATATCATCTTTGCATGCTTGTGGATTTCTGTAGCATAGGTTTAGAAAAGGAACTGCAAGATCAGGAATCTTTTGAGGGAAAAAAATGGAACATTTATAAGAATGGCTATACTCTGTTGTTCCATACTGGTAGCTTGCTCTAACCTGTACTCAAATGCTGATGAATGCAGATTTGAGGATCACATTAGGTGAGCAATGGTGTTTCAGTTTAATTCTTAATGAAAATCAGGAACAATATATCATTCTGGCAAAACCTAAAAAGTAAGTCGAGGTGTTAGCATGCCTGGCAATGAGGGCCTTTATGTGTAATTGGCATCTCTGAGACCTTGCAGAAGTGGGAGAACCAATGAGAGAGACTGTTGCCAGGCTACAAACTCCAGCGGAAGGCAGAAGAGATGGGTGGACAGGTGGGGGTGTCGGGCTGCGTGAAAAGGACAATATAATAACAGTAATAATCCTTTACATTTGTACGACACTTTACAGTTTACACGGGGTTTTTACATCTGTTTTCTAATTTAAGCTGCACAATAACCCTGTACAAAAATCTGAGCAGCCAAAAATATACCATAGAATTTCTGTGGGTGGACATCTGGATTCTGAAATAACAAAAATGTGGGCATAGTGTTAGCCTATACTGGACAAGACCCACTGACTGAGCCAAAATGTTAAGTGAGATCCAGGAAGGTACAGAACTAGACTAGTTGGCCTCACCAGGCAGAAGGAGTGGACAGTTTCCATTAGCCACATGCTGATTAGCATCTCCCCAAGAATGTGGAATGGATCCCTGCCAGGCCAGCTCCATCAGAGCCACCTGGAGAACTTGTGAATGTGCAGATTCCCTGATCTTACCCCCTAGAGATTCTGACTCAGTGGGTTTGAAGTACAGCTAGAAATCGGGCATTTTAACAAGCTCTTCTGATGTGCAACCAAGGTTGTCAACCACTGTTCTGGAAGTCTCTGAGAACTACAGCTAGAGAATTTTACTGTATGGATCTCCCGTCAAGTGGGACTGCCTAACACACAAGTCAGTGGACCTAGGTTGAGAGAAAGACCAACCAGTCTAGTCAAGTGCTCTGATGAATAAGTGTTTGACAAAGAAGGAGCTTCCTCTGAATGTAATTTTTAAAGATTTTAAATACACACACAGACACACACACACATTTACAAAGTTCCATACCAAAAGCTGTTTTGTAATATTCTGAATTGGGATTGGGAGCATGTGTTGCTATGGAAAGAGTCCTGGCCTGGAGAGGTCACTCTTTTAGAGAGGACCAAATCCTGAACTCAAAGCCAGAGGACCCTGGGTAGGGGCCCAGCTCAACTACATCCCAGTGTATGACCTTAGACATACAACCTCATTTCTCTGAGCCTCACTTTCCTCCTTCTGAAAAATGGCTGTGACATTCTCATTTCTCTATTTTTGCTATCCCCTTCCATCCTTCTCTTGTATCCTCTTAGTCTGAGCTAGCACTCAGCCTGTAATGGAATTTCTTCTTCTTTCTCAATCTTTTTTTTTTATGTTCCCAGATTGCTCACAGAAGCCAAGAATGTAAGCTTTTATGTAAGTGTGTATGTTTGCAGGAGTAATTAATATTTGGGAAACATATAAAAGTGTACAAAACATGCATATTTACATGAACTTCCTACTTGCTATTCCTACCTGGAAATTTTTGAAGTCTTCATTGTTTCTTTTCTATCATCTTTTTTTTCTTCCCTGGAAAATGGATTTATGAACTAGCCTTGCAACTAAGCACTTAAAGTAACCCGCAAAAATGCTCACCCGCCTGTTCATATTCACATGTCCTTTCTTGTCACATTTTTACTTTTCTTTACTGTTCTTGTTGCCCTTGTCTTAACTCTGTAATCACCTAGGTTGTAAATATTGATGCTTGCGCTTGAAGCAGAAATGTCATAAAGTGAAAAGTAGAGAAAATGGAAATAAGAAGGAATCGGTATTAATCTTACATGGAGATTGAGATTTCAGACTTTTTTACACCTATAAATATGTGAATATTTAATCCAATGAGAACAAAAATGGTGGCACTTGGGGATTTCCCCTACTGAAAGTCTGGAAATACACCACATTAAAAATGATAACCACTGAGCCCCTTTTCCATTCCTTTGTAGTGAAAACATTGTTCAATCCAGCTCCTGCCATTGCTGACCTGGATCCCCAGTTCTACACCCTCTCAGATGTGTTCTGTTGCAATGAAAGTGAGGTAAGGATGAATCGTTTTAGTTCTTCTATGAGAAACCAAAGGACTTTTATGCAAGTGGATAAAGCAAAGAGGCAGAACTAACCACATCAATCTGATGATATGTGAATTCTTAGGCCCCCAGTGAGAACAGATTTTTCAGTTTACTGGGGTGTGGAGAAAAGGAAATTAGTAAGTCCTAGGAAAAAAAAAGGATTCTCTGAGTCACCCCCATAATCTGGCACTTATCAAACCTCAGTTATTTTAGTCCCCGCCCTGCCCTCACACTATTGGTGTTTTGTTTTCTTTTCTAATTATTCCATATTCGGTAGACTAATTAGTAGTAACAATTGCCAGATTTAGCAAATAAAAGCATGGGATGCCCAGATAAATTTGAATTTCAGATAGACAATGAATAATATACCTAACATTTATACTGTAAAATTATCTGTTGTTTATCTGAAGTCCAAATTTAACTAAGCTTCCTGTTTTTTATTTGGTAACCCTCATTAGTATACAACCCCTGGAACATTTGCTACCTCCTGTAGTGAAGGCCCTATGACAGCATCGATGGACCAACGTAGGTTCTCCATTGATGCCATGGAAAAGACCTTGGCAGCCACTCCATTAGAGGCACAACCTCTCAGCCCATCCGAGTGTCATAATGTATACATCTGCACAAAATATCCATCAACATACTGATGTCGTACCACTCGTAAGTATTTTTAGGAAGAAAATGTCAATATTTCTCTCTTTGCATAAGCCAGACAGCATTAGACCAGAGCTCTCTCCCATGACTGGGCACAAGTACACATATTGGTGAACATAACATGCAGAGAGAAAAGTAATGAATGAACTGTAATAGTTCATTTTCCATTTGGTTCGAGTGCTGAATGAAGGTTTCTAGGATTTTTTGACCTGCTTTCTTGATAATTTCATCTCTGGGAACATAGAGGAAACAAGAAAGAAGACTGCTACAAGGAAACTAATTTTAACAAACCACAATAAGTTATGAAATTTTTGAGCAACCACCATGCTAGGAAAAAGGAATTGTGGGAGATAGTGACCATTTCACAATAAGAGGTTAGATTACCCTCAACTGCCAAAATGGATTAAATTTCCCTGCTAGATACTTAAAGAGCACTCCATTCCTCAAACACTCATCACAGCTCAAATTACTTATTCATTTCTTCTGTCTTCTCCATTAAATTACAAGTTCCACGAGGACAGAGACATCTGTCTTATTCACTATTCTATCCCCATTGGCTATCCCTGTGTATATAGTTATCTATTGCTGCATAATATATTACCCCAAAATTTAATGGCTTACAACAACAGTAATTATTTATTGTTACTTGTGATTTCTGTGCATCAGGAATTCAGAGAGGGCACAGCAAGGCTTGACCCTGCTCCACAATGCCTGGAGCCTCAGTAGGAAGACTCAAAGGCTGAGGACTAGAATCATCTGAAGTCTTTTTCACTCACATGCTTGACAGTTGATGCTGGCTGTTGGCTTGGGGCATAATGTGTCTGTTGGCCAGAACACTTATACATGTCCTCTACTTGTGATCTGGGCTTCCTCACGATGTGGTAGCTGGGTTCCAAGATCCAGCATCCTGAGAGAGAGAGCACCAGGCAGAAGCCATGTTGGGTTTTATGACTTAGTTTCAGAAGTCACACAGCATCGCTTCTGCCCCATCCTATTGGCTGAAGCAGGAAGGTCCACCCTGGTACCCCACCTCTCAATAAAAGATTGTCATCGTCACAGTGTAAAAACAACATGTACAATATGATATATATTAATAGAGTTACCTTTGGAAAATAACATCTACTACATTGTACCTATACATAGCTGGCACCTGGTAAATGTTTATTAAATAAATGAATGGATGAACAAATGGATGAACTCTGGTCTTTAAGGAAATTGGTCTCAAAAACCTAATGAAAAACAGAAAAGTATTAAAGAAAAAAGAAAAACATTAAAAGCTTAATGTTCTTATGGATGAATTGTAATCACAATAATAATGTAAATTTATGTTTATGATACTCTCTCTCTGTTCCAAACACAAACCTTTGACAAATAAATATAAAATGAGACAAGGAAAATATACTCACAAGCTCAAAAACAAAATAAATAACTCCATAGACCGGAAATGGAACAGCCTCACAGTGTATGCTCTTCACCAGCCCTAGAAGTGGGCAGAGGTAGTAGGAAATTCGCCTCCTCTGGGTCATGGGCCCTAGAAATGTTCCACTCACAGGAGACTGGAGCAGTGCCACTGTGACAAACAATACATGCTGGGCTGGAGCTCCCCTACTAGCAATAACAGGTGGAGGAAGTTGCTACCCCTGCTGCCTGAGGCTCCCAACCTGAGGAGGTGAGAGGATGGAGACACTGCCTCTGACCAGGAAGTAAACCAAGCCAACCGCTGCTTAGTGACAAGATTGGCAATATCCCCAATGACAACAGAACAGCAATTCCATATTGCCAATATAACCTGGCTCTGAGACCCTTGTGTGCCTGGTGGGTATAACCACAAAACCACTGGAAAGGCAGGGATGAGCCAGGTGAGAGCTGAAGTGTGAAGACTTTCCAACTCGGAGTGAGCAAAGTCAGCCTGCAAATGAGGAACATAATGCTACAAAACTTCCCAACAAAATCAACAATCTAAAGATGAATTCACCCAAGATGAAATTCACATAATAAAACAATACAAAAAAGGCTTTAAAATAAGTATGATTAAGATTAACATTCATTAAAGAATCAGAAATTATGAAAGAAAAACAGAATTGAAGCAACAATATATGAGTATGAGATACAACCAATTAGAAATCTTGAGAATGTACTCATTGAATTTTTTTAAATCACTCATTAGAAAAATAAACATTAGATTGCTGTGAAAAATTAGTAAATTGAAAGAAAATCTTTATCAATTCACCTAAAGTTAGAAAACTCAATTCACTTAGAAAGCAGCACAGAAAGAAAAATATTTTTAGATATCAAAGAAAAATTTAGAGAAGGATAGCTTGAGAGCCTCCAGTATATCAAATTGGAGTGAAAGAAGAAGAGAGAGAACCAAAAGCAGAGGAAAAGCTGCAAGCTGTTTTCTAGAATTGAAAAAAGGCCTGGGTCCTCAAGTCAAAAGAGTACAAAAGTGCCATGTAAGATAAATAAATATAATTCTGTACTTACATACATTTTAGTCAAACTGCGTAAAATCAAGGATAAAGACAAAAATATTTTTAGCAGCCAGAGGAAAAAAGACATTACATATAAATGACAAGACTATTCAGTACTTCATTACTTGTAAAAGAGGAAAATTGATAAAAGCAAAGTGTCCACTAAAAGGAGAATAGATTTTATTTAAACTCTAGTGTATATGCAGTATGGAATACTATATATAGTTTTTAAAAAAGAAAGAAATAGAGCTACATATATCAACACATTATATAATGTTAAGAGAAAAAGCACATTGCTAAATAATATATATGGAAAATATCACTTCTTTCAAGAAAAATATCTGAAGTAAATAAAGTAAAATGTTAAGATTTAGTAGAAGTGGATGGTAGGTACATGGATGTTTGTTGCATTTGCTTACATTAAAGATTTTTTTTATTAAAGAATATTTTTTTTTATTTCAGCATGTTATGGGGGTACAGATGATTAGGTTATGTATGATATTTTTAAGAGGTTTTTAGAAGACACAAGTCAGTGTTTCTGAAAGTAGACCATAAGTGATCTCAACAGATGTAAGTGATCCCAGTAAGGAAGATCAATGCAAAACTTTCTGTTTTTTTTAATACACAAAAGAAATATCATATACTTTCAATTGACTCAATTTAATTCAGTGAAATATATACATATATATATATAACCAATTGACTGATATTTATAAAACTTGCTTTTAAGAAAAAAAAAAGCGGCCATACAGTGTAACAAGTTCAGACAGAAAGAGTCTGTGCAAAAGATGGCAAGAGGGGCACATGGTCAGGGTTGCGAAACCTGTGCCGCTGGGAAAATGGAAACCTGGAATGAGTAGACACTTGTGGGATGATTTATAGACAACAAAAAGGGTTAGTTTGGGCACTTCAGAGCAAACACTAGGAGGCCTAGAAGCATTCTTAGAAAGAGATAGCCTATGGTTAAATTGTAATACATTTTCTGCATTACGAAATTTAGTTATACATTGTTTGATAAAAAAGTATCATATAATTCATCTAGTCCAGTGATTTTTAAATTGCCAGTCTCAGAACAATAAAGGGTAACAGAGATGCAGCAGGGGTACCTGGGGGTCAAGGAAGCAGGGCTAGAGCCCCACACCCCTACTCCAGCCAAAGACATTTTTATATTCTGGGGGAGAAATACTGATCCTGTTGAAGCTCTCCTAATTTTCGGATAGTAAGTGATTTGGAGAAGGCACAGAATTACTGAGTAGTACAGATCTCCTGAATGCAAGGGCATTGCTTTTTCTGCTACATATCAATGCCTCTCCTACACTGCTTCCATCTTCTCTAGCAAAAACAAAGGAAATGAGTAGTCTGCAAACATGGAAAGCTACTACTAGTAATATGAGAAAGGTAGTACAGCCCAATAGAGGCCTAGAAGAATTAGGCCCTGAAATTTACAGGTGCAATTTATACCAAAATCATTGGCAGGGGCCCTTCCCTTCCTCCCCCTAAACTTCCTTTCTTTCTTGTGTAGAATTCTCTTTGTTCCCCCTAACTCTTCATTATGAAAATTATCATATGTTCAGGAAAGCTGAAAAAGCAATACAATGAACACTCTCTACCTTCCACCTAATCAGTTGTTAACTTTTTGCTATATTTGCTTCTCCCCTTCCCTGTATGTATTTCTTTTTATTTTTGTTGAAAAGTAAAAGCAAATACATTTTGTTTTTGTTAAGAGTAAATTGCAGACATGATACCTCACCCCTAAATACTTCAGGATGCATCTTCTAAGAGTAACCACAATACCACTATCACACCTAAGAAGATTATCAGTAATTCCACACTATCATCTAATATCTAGGCCATGTTCAGATTTCCCCCATTGTCCCAAGAATGTCTTTTATAGCTAGTTTTTGTTGTCATTGTTATTGTTGCATTTTATTTATTTTCCTGTGCCAGTATCCCTCAAGGTTCTCATTGTTTTGGTTCTTATGAAAAAGAAGGGAGATATTTTCCAGAAAAAAAAAAAAATCTGGAAGTATATCCAGGGTACTTATTTTCACCACTGTTTCTTTCCACTTTTGTGTGTTCCAGGCTGAGATTTTAACCGGCCTCACGGTGGGCAGCGCTGCGGAAGCTGGGGAGGCCGCGTTAGTGCTCCTGCAAAGGGGCTGCCGGGTTGTGATCATCACCTTAGGGGCTGAAGGATGCATGATGCTGTCACAGACAGACCCTGTCCCAAAGCACATTCCCACAGAGAAAGTCAAGGCTGTGGATACCACGGTAGGTTTTAAAATTTAAGAATCATTTTTGGCCCTTGAAAATCATGATTTAGTTGCTAATTAGATACTGCACCTGAACTTTTGGATAACAAGACAAAGGCCTAGGAGGGGATATGTTAGAAGAGAACAATTAGGCAGGAAAACTGTATCTTAGTCCTTCTCTAACTCACTGTGGGACTTTATACAAGTAATTTAACTTCTTTGAGCCTGTTTCCTCATCTATAAAATCAGAATATCAGTAAAGTTATACCTGTATTACTTACATTTATTCATTTTTTTAATAAATAGGTATTTATCGAATACCTATTATGTGCCAGTCCTATGCTAGGTGCTAAGGATATAGTGATGAACAAGGCAAAGTCTCTGCTCTCATGGGGCTTAGATTCGAGATGGTAAACAAGCAGTCATGTCTCACAAGCCTCTCATGTGGAATGAATGGCAAGGAGCACAGGTTAGCAGAGGATGTTCTTTTAGCCAACAAATAATAACAGCTAACGTTTACTGCATGCTTGCTACGTCTCTTTTGCATATATCTCATTTAATCTGTACAACAATTATATGAGGCAGGTACTATTATTATCCTCATTTTACAGAAGAAGAAACTTGCTCAGGATCACATTGCCAGTAACAGAGCTGGGGGTTCAAAATGAGGCCTGTGGACTCCAACACAGACATTTTTGTGTAAGGCACTGTGTTAACCACAAGTGCGTTAAGTAGACAAGTCATGGCGCAGAGTAGGAATGAAAAGAAAGCAGGTTAGAAAAAAGAATCATGCTTCCCCTAAACCTAGGAAAATACAAATTATTTGTTTATTGTTACAACTCAGAAGAGCTGGGCAGGCAGGGTGGCTCATGCCTGTAATCCTAGTATTTTGGGAGGCCAAGGCAGGAGGATTGCTGGAGGCCAGGGGTTTAAGACCAGCCTGTACAACATACTGAGACCCCTGTCTCTCCAAAAAATACAAAAATTAGCCAGGTGTGGTGGTACACACCTGTAGTCCCAGCTACTCGGGAAGCTGAGGCAGGAGGCTCTCTTGAGCCCAGGAGTTTGAGGTTGCAGTGAGCTGTGATGACACTACTGCACACCAGCCTGGATGACAGAGAGAGACCCTGACTCAAAAACAAACAAACAAAAAAAAGAGAATTCAGAAGAGCTAACTAGCAGAGTAAATAAACTTCAGGGACAAGAAATTAAAGTTGAGGAAAATAAAAATTTTAGGGTTTTTATTTATAAGAAACTGATGAATAATTATTTATAAAATATATTTTGGTTTGGTTTTACTCTGAGACGTGACTTTAAGATGTGGGTTATTTATCAAAAAAGAAGCCTGAGAGAATCTGATGAAGTTATGGGTATGAATATGCTTTGAAAACTATGTAAGTGCAAGAAATGCTTATGTGACATGAAATTAACATCCTGGTTGCCTTTCAAAATGTGCTTTATTGGGTATTTGATAAATTGTACTCAGTGCTGTTATTCTCTTCATTTTTAGTCATTTCTGAAACCATTAGGTTTTTTTTTTCTGTTTTATCAAGGGCAGGAACCTGAATTTTTGAGACATTCCTTATTAGTTCTGAAATCAACTCTCCATTAAACTAAAACTACTCTAAGTCCTTATTCTTCTCTTGCTAAAAGTGAAATTGAGTGGTCCTCAAAGATGTCAGACCTACATGGATACACAGAAGTGGCTCAGCCTCTACCTTCAGCATCTGTTAGTCACTACTCCTTTTGGTTGTAAGCACCAGAAACTCAGCTCAAACAGGCTTACGCAGGAAAAGGGATTTATTTGGTGCACATAATTGGAAAGTTTGAAGATACAGCAGAATGCAAAGGCTAAACCATGTCATTGAGACTTGCTGTCTCAGTCTCTCTGTGTCAGCTCTGCTCTCCTTATAGTGGGCTAATGAGCTCAGGCTGGTCCTCTCTAGGTGATGGTCTCTGGCAGCTCCCTGTCCCACACTGTGCCCCATGGCATGTCCCCAGCCCTGGTGTCAAATAAAAATCAAAGAACTCTTATCAGAGGATAGGGAAGTGGACGCTGGTCAGACAAAAACAACTCGTGCCTGCCACAGAACGGTCATGTGGAAATGCACTGCTTGGGCATGGAATTAAATCAGGAAGAAACTAGCCTTGGAAATATTCAAATTCAAATTAGTAGTGATGATCTTCAAGTAATTTCATGTGGAAGGGTTGGATTTCATAGCTCCTGACTGATCACAACTTTGAGAATATTAAATATAGCAATGTACAGTAAGAAAGTTGTCATATTTTGATATTATTTTGTGCCCTTTCATTTGGATTCTTAGCCCTTGCAGTTAATTTTTAGGTTTCAGGAAAGTAAATACATTTGGAGGATAAAAGATCTAAAGTCCACATCCCCTTTGTTTTTCTGTGGAAGCAACCTGACAGAGTGGAGGGGCTCTGACCCACAGGAGTCTGGAGGTCTAGTCCCTGCTTCTCCTGTAAATTTGCTGTCACTTTGGCAAGTTGGGTAACTTCACAGAGCTTCTGATACCTCACCTGTAAAATGAACTCACGACATTAATACTGTGAACCAGCAAGGGGCGTGGTGGGGAGGAAGTGGGTTGGGGAACCTGCGGCCTTGGGGCCACATGTGGCCTTCTGGATCCTTCAGTGCAGCCTTTTACTGAATCCAGATTGTACAGAACAAAGCCTTTTAATAAAGGGATTTGTTCTGTGAAGTTTGGATTCAGTCAAGGGGCAGCACTGGGGATCTGGAGGGCCACATGTGGCCCCAAGGCCGCAGGGTCCCCACCCCTAATTGAATTTTGATTACATGCCAAACACAAGAAAAGAAAGAAAGAGATAGTTGAATATCCAATGTGTTTGAATATATCTAGAGATTTTTAGTTTTCTTGTGGAATTTGAAGATGAATTATTAATTGGTGCATAGAAAACTGAGAAAATTTTTTAAATGAGGCAGATTTTCCCCTTTAGGTCATCTCGAATCTAAGAGGAAAAAAGTATGATTAAGTAAATATAATCTTTGTATATCACATGGCTGTAAATGCATAGTCAGAACAATGTAAATGCTAATTCTTGACTTAACCAGAAATGTAGATTATAATCATATTGTGAAGACGGAAGGGCAAAGTGAGTGTGTATTCGTGTGCACATCAGAGGACAGAAGAGAACTAAATGCTCATCTTCCATAGCTGGAAGTTAAGAAAAACTATCTAAAACTGATTTTTTAAAGGGGGTATAAGCATATTACCAGAAATATAAGATAAATTAGAAGAAAGCATGAGAGGAATTTAAAGTATTTGCCTTATGGAAATGGGAATGGAGAGGGATCAGGCATTGATACTTTAAGCCTTATCTTTTTAAACTATGTCTGTGGATGGCTTTGATTTTAAAACAAAAAATAATAATACACCCACTAGGAATGGGCTATAATCAAAAACAGATAATAAATGTCATCAAGGATGTACAGAAATTAGAACTCATATATTGCTGGTAGGAATGTAAGATGGTGCAGCCACTTTGGAAAACAGTCTGGAAGTGCCTCAGAAAGTTAAATATAAAGTTACCATATGATCCAGCAATTCTGTATACGCAGAGAAATCAAAACATGTGTCCACTTAAAAATGTATACACGGACCAGGCGCAGTGGCTCACGCCTGTAATCCTAACACTCTGGGAGGGCGAGGCGGGAGGACTGCTTGAGCTGAGGAGTTCGAGACCAGCCTGAGCAAGAGTGAGACCCCATCTCTACTATAAGTAGAAAGAAATTAGCCAAAAACACCTAAAAATAGAAAAAATTAGCTGGACACGGTGCCACATGCCTGTAGTCCCAGCTACCTGGGAGGCTGAGGCAGGAGGATCACTTGAGCTCAGGAGTTTGAGGTTGCTGTGAGCTAGGCTGATGCCATGGCACTCTAGCCCAGGCAAGAGAGTGAGACTCTATCTCAAAAAAAAAAATGTATACATGAATGTTCATAGCAGCATCATTCCTAATAGCCAAAAATTAAAAAGAATCCAGTGTTCATCAGCAGATGAATGGATAAAGAAATTGTGGTATATCCATGCAATGGAATATTATTTGGCCATTAAAAGGAATACCGCCTGGCACGGTGGCTCAGGCCTGTAATCCTAGCACTCTGGGAGGCTGAAGTGGGAGGATCGCTTGAGGTCAGGAGTTCAAGACCAGCCTGAGCAAGAGCAAGACCTTGTCTCTACCAAAAATAGAAAAAATAAATTAGCCCTGCGTGGTGGCATGCACCTGTAGTTCCAGCTACTAGGGAGGTCGAGGCAGGCAGATCGCTTGAGCCCAGGAATTTGAGGTTGTAGTGAGCTATGATGACATCACTACACTCTACCCAGGGCCACAAAGCAAGACTCTGTCTCAAAAAAAAAAAAAAAGGAATACTGATACATGCTACTATGTGAGTGAACCTCGAAAACATTATGCTCAGTGAAAGAAGCTAGACAGAAGAGGTTATGTAATGTATGATTCCATTTATATGACATATCCAGAATAGGCAAATCCGTAGAGACAGAAAGCATGGGGTTCCTTTCCGGGATGATGAAAATGCTCTGGAATTAGCGGTGATGGTTAAACAACCTTGCGGATATACCAATAACCACTACAGCGGATACCTTTGAAGAGTGAATTTTATATGTGAATTATATCTCACACAACAACAACAACAAAGCCCCATCAAGGCCCTTCAGTAAAGAACAGATATTCTTGTGATAAAGACTATTCCACTGAGTTGCTCTGCTGAATATCCTGAAAGGGCTCTCTGCGTCCCCCCAGTAGAGCGGAGGTGACACTGACAGGAAACCAGGGTAGTTATTTTCCGGGCCTAGAATCTCCTTCATCTTTTTTATACTATCTTTGTCCTCTCATCCAGCACTCTCATTATTAAAATTCTTGGCTGTTCTGCACACAACGGCTCAGCCTCTTCGTAAGTCTAATAACAAGGAGATAATTCACACGGTGAGACGAGGAACTCCCAGGGAGGCATTTTCTTCTGA